CAATTTTTTTTTGGGGGGGGGTTTACTAATAGGAGAAGTTATTTGGTGGTCCTGGGACAGGACCATATAGTACCCCAAGTGAGTTATGATTAGTGAAGAAAGTTGAGCCCATGATTTGAGTTAGGTAATTAAAAAATACTAAAAACGATGATAATTTGAGTTATGGCCTTCTAGTACCCCCAGACCACTATATAATTTTTCTACTAATAGCATGTCATCATAAGCATTAAAAAGAAATTTGCACAAATTATATTAATTTCCTTCAAACTATCGACTATTTACACTTACCTCCTTAATGTTTTAAACCTAACAATTACTCCCTTCAAACTATTTGAATTTGAACATTAATTAAAAGTCCTTTTATTAGCCATTTGATAAATATTTGGATGAAAAATTGTCAAGTGATGTGCACATGATAATTATATTAAATTTTTACAAAAGATAAAATATGATAATTTAGTCATAAAATTTAATACAATCATCATGTGCACAACACTTGACAATTTTTCATTCAAATATCTAACAAATGACTAACAGAATGACTTAATGTTCAAATTTAAATAGTTTGAGGGGGGTAATTATTAGGTTTAAAATAATAAAGGTATAGCGATCCTGGTTTTCCCTTTATTGTTTAATTGTATTTCAGACTCGGTTCCGTGGATGTGTTGTTATCTTTTTCCCGTTTCCATCCTTTACTCTTTGCAAATGAGTCTTAGGTCGTGTTGGATAGGTTTAAAACAGGTTGGTTGTGTTTGGAAACTAAGGGTTAGTGTCCATTAAATTTTCATAATAGTTCGTTTAATATCCTTATTAGTGGTTACAAACTTGTTCATTTAATATCCTTATTAGTGGTTCATTTAATATCCTTATTAGTGGTTACAAACTTGTTCATTTAATATCTTTGTTAGTAGTTCATTTACTATCCTTATTAATGTTCCATTCATATTCAAACTTGTCCTTTCAAATTCCAACTAGTATGTTACATCAAGGTTGCCGATAAATTGAACTCACCTCTCAACTTCTATGGTGCTTCCCATATCTCTCTCCATTTGACTTGCTCTTCATTTTAATTCGAAAATTATTGGGTTTTGAGCACCTTCAAAATCCTTCATCTTCTCCATTTGGTCTCTCCATTTGAGGTAAGGATTTCTACTCATCGTTATGAGCTTTAACCTAGATGTTGGGCTTTTGTTTAAATGGTTTGATTTGGGAAGTTAGCGTTTTGAAATGTGCTATTTTGAAAAGAGGGGTTTTGTTTATTTGACTCATCCATACGTGTTTTGGGTCTAAAATAGAGATTGTTGATGTTGTTAGTAATATTGGAGCCTTAGGATTGATGTTGAGAATATGGGGAAAAGCCCTAATTGTTATGATAAATTAATTTGTATAATTAATTTAGGGAAATGAGAAATTGAATAGGAAATATTCAAATTAGAAAGGTATGGAGTTAAAAGGGTGTTGTTGGATTAATTTATCGCTCACCTAGACAAAATGTTGATATTTTATCCATTTGGTGCATTTATCCTCTATTTAGAAATAACTGTTTTAGGCTATCGGTGGAAGACAGTCTTGAGGGTTGTAGACAATGCATAGAGATTAGGCAAACTAAAACTAATCAATTGAGTATGCTATTGAATATGGCGGTTGGTATAATACATCAAAATTTTGTATTGATTGATCGAATTTGTACATGATAATCGCTTATATACATTGTTTTGTGTGGGAGGAGATGGGAGATATACTCCACGGTTTATTGGAAGATGGGGGATGGACCTCTAAACCGAATTTTTGTTTGATATTGATACAGCACTAAAATGTGTATCATTTGTGAAGTATAGAAGTGTTTTTGTTTGATATTGATACAGCACTAAAATGTGTATCATTTGTGAAGTATAGAAGTGTTTTTGTCTCAGATTGATACAGTACTAAAATGTGTATCTATTATGAGGTATGAAATGTTTAAAATGAGTTATTATCTCGCCTGAAATAGAAATACGGTTGATATGAGATGTGATCTGGTTTAAATTGATTGGCCAAGTTGTGAGTCATAGTTATGAATTGAGAATTTGATAAGAAATGGAAACTGGAATAGAACATGGTCATATTAGTCATGGGATTGTAATGTGTTATAAGTTGTTGTGTAAGAGTTAAACGTTTATCAATTGCTAACGTTTTAGTTACTATTCATACTATGTTTAGCATATCTCTACTGGGCGTTTGGGATTTGGAGCACGTTGGTCTTTGGTCATCATCTCCGTTTGAGTTCTTCACTTCGAGGTAGGGATTCCTACTCATCTTTATGAGCTTTAACCTAGATGTTGGGATTTTGTTTAAATGGTTTGATTTGGGAAGTTAGGGTTTTGAAATGTGCTATTTTGAAAAGAGGGGTTTTGTTTATTTGACTCATCCATACGTGTTTTGGGTCTAAAATAGAGATTGTTGAGGTTGTTAGTAATATTGGAGCCTTAGGGTTGATGTTGAGAATATGGGGAAAAGCCCTAATTGTTATGATAAATTAATTTGTATAATTAATTTAGGGGAATGAGAAATTGAATAGGAAATATTCAAATTAGAAAGGTATGGGATTAAAAGGGTGTAGTTGGATTAATTTATCGCTCACCTAGACAAAATGTTGATATTTTATCCATTTGGTGCATTTATCCTCTGTTTAGAAATAACTGTTTTAGGCTATCGGTGGAGGATAGTCTTGAGGGTTGTAGACAATGCATGGGGATTAGGCAAACTAAAACTAATCAGTTGAGTATGCTATTGAATATGGCGGTTGGTATAATACATCAAAATTTTGTATTGATTGATCGAATTTGTACATGATAATCGCTTATATACATTGTTTTGTGTGGGAGGAGATGGGAGATATACTCCACGGTTTATTGGAAGATGGGGGATGGACCTCTAAACCGAATTTTTGTTTGATATTGATACAGCACTAAAATGTGTATCATTTGTGAAGTATAGAAGTGTTTTTGTTTGATATTGATACAGCACTAAAATGTGTATCATTTGTGAAGTATAGAAGTGTTTTTCTCTGAGATTGATACAGTACTAAAATGTGTATCTATTATGAGGTATGAAATGTTTAAAATGAGTTATTATCTCGCCTGAAATAGAAATACGGTTGATAGGAGATGTGATCTCGTTTAAATTGGTTGGCCAAGTTATGAGTCATAGTTATGAATTGAGAATTTGATAAGAAATGGAAACTGGAATAGGACATGGTCATATTAGTCATGGGATTGTAATGTGTTATAAGTTGTTGTGTAAGAGTTAAACGTTTATCAATTGCCAATGTTTTAGTTACTGTTCATACTATGTTTAGCATATTTCTACTGGGCGTTGGCTCACCCTATATGGGACATCATTTTCAGGTACAGGTGTTATGCCACTTCCAAGGACGTAGCTTGGAAGGCTTGAGGCTATTAGACCACCTTTTGTTGTTTTGTTGTATTACATGTATATTAAGCTAAGGGCTTTCTTTGTATAGAGTTTGCACTCTCTTTTTGCAACCAAGCGTTGTCTTGGGAAGTTGTAAGCCCATAGGGCGATTACTTTTATTGTCAATGTGTAATACATTTTGTAAGAATACTATGATGATTGTAATATAATATCTCTTTCCTATATCTTGAATGTATGATATTATGGATTTATTTTGAGGGCGTTACAAAAAGGGTAAAGTGTAGATAGCCGATAATTTGGGGGGTTTAATATAATTTGCCCAATAAATTTAACTTGCTAATTTATAACTACTACAACCAAGAAAAGCTTGCAGCAAACAACTACAAAATACCAACAAAAAAAAATCCTTCAAACTGCTACTTACAAATATGGCATGAAAGAAAACCATAATTCTTGCGATTAGCCGCTCTGTTCTCCCACTCGAATCACTATTAATCTATTGTTACCTCATTCAAGTACAATGGATTAATATTGATCCGTGGTTTGTTCTAATGTATCAAGAAAGGGAATTTTCCTACAATGCATAATTTGTATATTACTCTACATAGATAACTTTGCTCAAATTAGGCCAAAATCAGTAGTCTTGAGTTTATGAAAGCTCAATAATCATTCAACTATAAGCAACTTCTTAAGTACCAAAACAGGAATTAGTCAATCATTTAAACTATAAGCAACTTGTTGACAAGAGCTCAATCCTAACTGAACGAAAATGAAAGCATAAAAGATTGCCAACTTGTTGCCTTCAAAAGATTTGACTTCTTACATTTGGTGAGAAGCTCCAAAGCAAGTCAATATATATATATATATATATATATGTAAGTCAATATTAAATTAATTCAGTTAAGCTCTGCAGTCATCTACATGCCTACATACCAAAAAATCACTCTAAGATCACTCTACAAAAAATCATTCTAAAGGATCCGGATTCAACGAATTTACCAAGGGCCAAGAGCAACTCTATCTATGACATTTCATTCACCAATGCACTAATATGGGGATGAAACAATAGTACCGTGGCACAAAACATAAATAACAATATTTGCCTAAGACTAGTTTGTGGAACAAGAGGAAGAAAAAAAAAAACAAAACAAAACAACACAGAAAAAAGAAGAAAAAGAATGCTGGCATTGAAAACCATATGATGGTGAATCAGAGAAAATTATAATCACTTAAGCAGTTCTGAGAGAATGTTTTTCTAAGAATAAAAGGGATTGTACTAAAACAAATAGTTCATTGCTCCATATGATAGATTATCATAAACTTATATTTTATTATGTAGGTAGAACATCTAGACATGGATACGGATGGTCATCCACCGTGACGTGCAAGTGATGAGATGAACCATCTAATTGTCGCATTGAAAAGGAATTTTTTGTCACTTTTTAATAAACAGTTCATTGTAATCTTCCATCTATTTAAGTCTCCTGCCTACAAAAAGACTCCTCTCTCTCTCTCTCTCTCTCTCTCTCTCTCTCTCTCACACACACACACACACACACACACACATTGTTACCATAAAAGAGAAGATGAATCCACACCCGAGTAGTACCATGTCAGCAGCTTCTAAACTAGCCATGCACAAGGATTCACATGTAGTATCAAAGTTCAAGCCAAAGATAAGCATAATCCACATACTTGCACCAGAAATCATAAAGACAGATGTAGAAAATTTTCGAGAGCTGGTCCAGCAACTGACTGGAAAACCTACTGACAGGAAAGGTAAAAATGAGACAACAAGTGCTGAATCAGAAAGTTGCATGCACATTTCGCACAATGGAGGAGACAGGATGAAGAAGGAAAGCGAGCAAATATGTGGCAGTGAGAATTCAATTGGTTTCATAGGTGGGTTCGGAGAAATGGATGATTTAGTTCAAGACCTGACTCAAATTCCTTTGCTTCCTCTAAAATCTTCTCAATTTAACATATACGGAGGGATGCCACTTTTCCAGTGAAGGCCATCTTTTTTTTTCTTCTTTTTTGTTCTCTTTTTCTTTTACACTGCCTTTTGATTGGACAGTTTCAAGATTTTCTCACTTTGGCATTGGTTTGCAGACAATATCATCTTCTTCTTCTTTTTTTCTTTTCTTTATTTATGTATTGAAATTTTTCTCCACTGCAAAGCACAGATAAATATATCGTATTGTTCAAACTTTTCTTTTCCTTTTTTCCCTTTATATTGTTAAACTGGATTTGCATTGTAAAGCTCCTGGATTTTGCTTTTTAATTATTCTGTACAATATTTTTCTGTTTAATTAATATCTCATACCACAATATTCATGTGAGTTTTTTCCTTGGCTCTCAGCAATTTGATTAACTCTAATTGTAGGAAAGTGTTCTATGAACCATTGAAAACGTGTACAAATACAAGCTATTGATACACTCGAGCTCATATTTAGGTGGAAGCAAACTGTATTGAATTTTTATTTAGCTCAACAACATACAAAAATGCTACTTTGAATCATTTCTGCTTTCTCTTGCTGCAAACAATTCGCTTTTCCTATTCACTAGTACACTGCGATGCTCAACACACTTGGATGTTTTGATTCTGAAGGCTCAACACATCAACAAGGTTGAGTAAGAGTATCACCATCAAAGCCTACAAGGAAAGTCCCTCATAACATTATATGTTTGACCCTCCCAAAGATGAATACTTACTAAACCTTATTGAGGTCCTATCGTCTTTTCTTATTAAAATAATTTCTTCTACAAGTTTCTAACTTCGAGTTCCAAACGGAAGTATCAAATATTACCTGCAGCATAGTTTTCTCCATTAATTTGGTCTGCCAATTTTCTAACATAAGTCAATTTTTCAACACATTCACTTTTATTTTCCTTTATCTACTGTGCAAGTGCAAAAGAAAGAAAAACAAAATAAAAATAAAGAAGGCAAATCATCAAGCCATTGAGATTTCCCCAATGTTTGCAGCAACCAAACATGGAAGAGGAAGATAAAATATTTTGCACAAGAGTTAAAACAAGAGATAGAATGAGAAAGAATGCACTGACCTTCATACAAGTGAATTTCGATTAAAATTTGGCATGATCTTTTTTTAGTCAATATGGTTCACACCAACTTCTCTACACGTTGCAATTCATTGTTATAAACCAGCTTCATATTCCATATATCCACAAGCTAATAGAATCACAATAGGTCAAAAATAATATGCTACTCTTTTAGAATAACAAAGAACAAAACCAGAAACTGAATCAAATTACACACAATATTATTGACATCTTTATATTTATTCACTAAATCTAAAGAGATGGGGTATTACCTTGAGCAACACTGTGACAACCAAACCATTCATGCATCATGTATATTTTATTATTCATGCATTCATGCTATATTTTGTGTACTTGTGTGAATTAGGACTTGCTAGCAATAGGATGAGAAGAAGTTTGAAAACTTATGAATCGGACTTGTTTGTTATGTGTTGTGAGTTGGGGGATAGCTTAAAACTTTATTTGAAAATCGTAAGATGTGCCTATGCCTTAAGTGAGGAGCTTAAAGAGCTTAGTCTAATGAACTTGACCATCTCGTGCTATTTGATATTTTTCTAATTAGGATTAGTGATAATTAAGTACGATTAGTGAATCTTAATTAGGATTAATTAACTCAAGTAGGATTAAGTATAAACTTGATTAATTAGTCCTAATCTAGATTAGCTAAACTAAGTCAGCAAGATTAGCTAACTAATGATCTTCCATCTTTTGCCCACCACACACAATAAAACCTTAGGCCCCAAACCAAACAAAAGAGAGGAAAATTCAGCCAAGTGGTAGAATCAACGAGACAAAGGAAGAAGAGAGGAGAAGAAAAGATCGAAAATGGGAGAAAATGAAGGAATTCAACAACTTCAACAAAATCCATTAAAGAAGTGTTCCAAGGTAAGATTCCAACCCTAATTCTTGTGCTAAACCCTTCTAATGTCTAGGATTGAAAAGAAACTAGGATCAATTTGATATAGGAATGAAGAAATTCAAAGAAAAAGAAGAGAAGTTGAGCTACGAAGAAAACCATGCTAGGAAGCTTAGGAATTCCATCTTTTGGTTGAAGTTTTGGTGTTTTTGGTACATGTAGATCTTTCCCGTCATATATTCTTGTGATTTCCAAGAGTTTTCATCATTAAATTCATTTTTTGAATGAAAAAAAAGAAAAGAAAAGTTTTGAAAAGATTTGGAAAAGATTCAAATCTTGAAGTTCTTGATAAATTGCAAAGATTTGGTTCAAGATTCTTGAAATAAGTAAAGTTTTGATTTGAAAAATGTTTATATGTTCATGTTTTTCATAAATTTTGTATGTCTTTGAGTGTTTTAGCTTGAGCCCTATGCATGGAATTGAAAGAACAAGGGTTAGGAAATGCATAATTTTGAACAGTTAAAGAAACCGAGAACCGCACATGCAGCGGGTCATCCCGCACGTACAGAAGTTTTTCCCCTGCAACCATTTTGCTAGCTATTGGAATAAATGCATGTGTGGCCTGCACATGCCTCGACCTTCCTGCACGTGAGATTTTGGTCCCACACGTGCGGAAATCCCCTATTTTGCACACACTTTTGTTTCACAATACTCTTTCACCTAGAACACTTTTTACACTCATTTGAAACTTAGATAAGGACTGAATTACACTTAGAATAATGTTAGAACACTTGAGAGAATTTAAGGAAAATGTTTAACCAAGTTTAGAAACCGAATTGTTATGCTAATGCTTAGGAAGTTCAATGCTTTATTCTTGTTTTGTAGGTCAAGCCTTGAAGAAGTTAAACCTTTGTGCATGGAGCCAACTGTGAGTAGTAATATAGTAAAGTTACTTAAAATTACAATTCAAAGTGTAAACATATGATATGTTTAAGGAAGCTATATTATTGTTTTGCTATGAATGAACATCATATATTCTTGTATCACGTATTAAGATGACTTCTTGAAACAAGTTTGTTGTTGGAAATTAGGCTAATGACCTCAAGCTAACTGAGCTCTTTGTTGTGGATAAGTTATTTGCAAAGCCTTGGAACGTTCATCGCTATGTGTAAGCATACAAGTTAAGCTTTGGTTATCATGTATAAATTATATTATATTTGAAATGAGCTTGTGCTTGGTTTTAATGAAATTTATTGGTGTTCATTCATATATCACTTTACTATGTTGTTTTTCATTGGGCTTTGACTCACCCCTCTCCCCTGTATGTTGTGTAGGTGATTGAGATGATTAGATTTAGGAAGAGAGAGCAAGCTTAGAGATGTTGTTATTGTATATGAGTTTTGTGTATTTATTTTTTATTTTTTTTTGTTTAAGTGGATGTTTGTAAACAATATATCTTTCCTTTTGTTGTAGACTTGTATTGTCAAAGATAAATAAATGACAGGTATGCCTGTTTTTGTTTACATATGACTTATGCACATACTCTAAATGCACTCTTGGTAATTAATGGACAATGTATTCTGCATAGGCCCCAATGTTTTTAGTCCAATCTTGTCTTGTCTTGCTAGGCCTTTGGTAGTCAAGCACTACTGGCCGGTCATAACTACTATGTTGTTTGAGATGGGATGGGGTCGTGATAGAATAGTATCAGAGTTCAAGTTTGTACACATACACATTGTCCATCAATGCATAGGATTTCTTTATAAGAACCTTAGGAATGCATTCATATGGAATACTTGTAATGGTATGTGCATCTTATGTGTTATTTGATATTTGAACATCATGTGCATATTTTATAAATGCTTATCTTCTACTTTGCATACATAGCATCATGGTGAGAGAAAGAGTTGAATCCTCTACCAACCGCATGGATCAACTTGAAAGGTTATTGGAGGGAGTAGTGGAGGCAGTAGAGCGATTAAGACAAAGGAATCAAGAACAACTGCAACCATAGCAACAACCCCAACCGCAGCACCAGCACCAGCAATAATTACCATAGCAACAAGTACCTCTGCAAATGGATTTTCCAAATCAGGCAACACTGGCATTTATTAGGGAATACAAAAAGATGAAGCCCATCTAGTTTGAAAGAGGAATTGATCCTTTGAAGTAGAGGCTTGGGTGTTGGAAGCAGAGAAATTCTTTGAGGTCTTCCATTGCACAGAAACACAAAAGGTTGCATTGGCTACATTCACCTTGGCAGAGGAGGCATGTAGATGGTGGATGTTAGTAAAGGATCAACATGATGGTGTCACCTGGAACCACTTTTCGGAGATCTTATATGAGAAGTACTTCCCACAGTCTATCAGGGACAGAAAAGCATCAGAGTTCCAAACACTGAAACAAGAAGGGGGTACAGTGGCAGAATATGATGCCAAGTTCATGGAGCTAGCTAGATTTGCTCCACACATGATAAATATTGAGTACAATAAAGCTAAGAAATTTAAGAAAGGGCGTCAAGGACCACATCGAGATAAAGTGAATATCTTCAAATTTCCTACATATGCGGAAGTTTTGGATAGGGTGATTATGGCCGAGTTGAATGCAAAGGATAAACAGAAATCCAAAGAATGGTTCAACAAGAGACAGAGGTATGACACGAGAAAGGGGCCAACAAATTTACCTATCAAAAAGCCAAGTGTAGGAACTACTAGTGGTGCTAGTCAATAGAGTAAGATGGCTTCAGTTTGTCCAGATTTCAGTAAACATCATCATAGAGTTTGTCGTCGAGTTTCAGGGGCTTGTTTTGAATATGGCCAAATGGGACATCAAATAAAGTATTTTCCAAAGGCTCGACAAAATTCTTCGAGAGATGCAAGTAGTTCATCGGGATCAGTTCAGAAATCAATCGCCAAGCCTAATTCCACAAGGAAAGAACCAGTAAGACAAGCAAGGGTGTTTGCCTTAGTCCCAGGGGATGCTCAGAGTTCGAAGCCTGTTATATTAGGTATATTCTCCATCTATTCTCATGATACATATATTTTGATAGATTCGGGTTCTATGCATTCATTTTTATCTAGTCAGTTTGTGAATAAGTTGAATAAACCATCAGAACCTTTGAATTTTCTAATGTCAATATCTATACCGTTGGATGAATCCATGATATGTCCATCTATCTATCAGGATTGTAAAATATTAATTGGGAATGCTAGTTTGACTGTTGATTTGTTGCCTATAGAAATGAGTCATTTTGATGCTATTTTTGGGAATGGATTGGTTGTCAACTAATTATGCTACAATAAATTGTGCATCAAAATGTGTCTCATTCCAACCACCAAATCATTAGGAGTTTTCTTTTCAAGGAAGATGCGTAGTACCAACACTTTATCTCATTTCATCCATGAAGGCATGTAAATTACTCAAGAAAGGGTATCGGGAATATTTGTGTAATGTCCTAACCATACAGGGATCTAATAATAGTTTGAGCAACATACCAGTAGCAATAGAATTTTCAGATGTGATTCCTGATAATCTACCAGGCAATTTGATTGATAGAGAAATTAAGTTTACAGTTGATGTTGCACTCAACCAATTTCTAAGACTCCTTACAAAATGTCGCCGGCAGGGCTAAAGGAGTTAAAAATTCAATTGCAAGATTTGTTAGACAAAGGCTTTATTCAACCTAGCACTTCACCTTGGGTTGCACTAGTTTTATTTGTGAAAAAGAATGATGAAACTCTTCGTTTGTGCATTGAATACAGAGAATTAAACAAGGTGACTGTCAAAAACAAATACCCGTTGCCAAGGATTGATGATTTGTTTGATCAACTACAAGGGGCACAAGTCTTCTCAAAGATTGATCTTAGATTAGGTTACCATCAACTCTAAGTCAAGGCAGAAGATGTTGAAAAAACTGTATTCAGAACTGGGTATATCCATTATGAGTTTTTAGTTATGCCATTTGGGTTTCTAATGCACCTGTAGCATTCAAGGATCTAATGAATAGAATTTTTAAAGCCCATCTAGATGAATTTGTTTTAGTTTTTATTGATGACATCTTGATTTACTCTAAAAGTGAGAAGGACCATGAGCAGTATTTGAGATTGATCCTTCAAACTCTTAGAGATAAATAGTTGTATGCAAAGTTGATGACGTGTGAGTTTTGGCTGACTAGTGTGACATTTTTGTGACATTTTATGATAAAGAAGGTATTTCTGTTAATCCCCAGAAGATTGAAACAATAGTAAACTGGCCAAGACCCACCAATGTAACAGAGGTTCGAAGTTTCCTTGGCTTGGCAGGTTATTACAGGAGATTTGTCAAAGACTTCTCCAAGATAGCAGTGCCACTCACCCAACTAACACAAAAGGAAGTGCCATTTGAATGGACAGAAGAAAGAGATTTTGCTTTTCAAAAGTTGAAAACTAGGTTGATCACAGTGTCAGTCCTTATACTACCATCAAGTACGAAAGGGTTCGTTATCTATAGTGATGCAAAAAGGATTGGGGTGTGTTTTGATGCAAAACAACAAGGTCATTGCTTATGCTTCTCGCCAATTAAAGCCACATGAAAAAACTACCCAACACACAACTTAGAATTGACAGCCATTGTTTTTGCATTATAAATTTGGCATCATTATTTGTATGGGGCAACATGTAAGGTGTTCACAGACCACAAAAGTTTAAAGAATTTGTTTACCCAGAAGGAGCTTAATATGAGGCAAAAGAGGTGGCCAGAGTTGATGAAAGATTATGACTTGCAAATCCAGTATCATCTTGGCAAAGCAAATACAGTAACAGACACCCTCAGCCAGAAATCAATGGAGAATTTGGCATGCCTACTCACCAAGCAAGGAGACATACTTCAAGATCTACTTAGAATGGAGATAGAATTAGTCCTACATGAGACATGAGGAATTTTAGTGGCAATTTCTGCCCAACCATTAATCATTAGAGAAATCAAGCAACAACAAATGGAGGATGCCTACTTCAAGAAATTTTTTGAAGAAAGTGATCCAAAGCCAAGACTGGGATTCTCAATTAAAGAACAAGTGTTGTAGTTTGAAGGTAGATTATGTGTTCCAAATATATCGGAGCTGAAAAAGAAAGTCATGGAGGAAGCACACCGCTCCAAGTTTGCAGTCTACCCTGGAAGCACTAAAATGCATCAAGATCTTAAGCAAATATGGTGGCCAAACATAAAAAGGGACATAGTAGAGTTTGTTTTTCGTTGCCTTCAATGCCAACAAGTAAAAGCAGAACACCAAAAGCCAACTGGTCTACTTCAACCTCTCTTTCTATCCAGAATGGAAATGGAAGCACATCACAATGGATTTTGTAGTTGGCTTGCCTCACACACTGAAAAGTATGGATTCGATTTGGGTGATTGTAGATAGATTGACCAAGTTCGCTCATTTCTTACCTGTGAAGTCTTTTTACAATGCAAGCAAATTAGCTACCTTGTATATAGATGAGATTTTTCAACTTCATGGTGTGCCTGTTTCTATTATGTCGGATAGAGACTCCAAATTTGTATCTAGATTTTGGCAGAGCTTGCAGAAAGCATTGGTAACATAACTGAAATTTAGTACAGCCTTTCATCTGCATATCGATGGTCAATTAGAAAGAACAATTCAGACTTTAGAAGATATGCTTCGTTTGTGTGCATTGGATGTCAAGGGAAGTTGGGAAACTCACAAGCCATTGGCAGAATTAGCTTACAACAATAGTTTCCAAGAAAGCATTGGGACAACACCATATGAAGCATTATATGGAAGGAAATGTAGATCACCAGTTTGTTGGACAGAAGTTGGAGACAAACCGATGTTAGGACCTGAGATCGTTCAAGTTACCACGGAGAAAATCAAAATTATTTAACGACTCAAAATCGCCCAAAGCCATCAAAAGAATTATGCAGACTTGAGAAGAAGGGATATAGAGTTCGAGGTTGGATATCATGTGTTCCTGAAAGTTACTTCAATGAAAGGTCAGACTCGATTTGGGAAAAAGGAAAAATTGTCTCCGCAGTATATAGGATCATTTGAAATCCTAGAGAAAATTAGTCTAGTAGCATACTGGTTAGCATTGCCGCCAGAGATGGAACAGATTCATAATGTTTTTCACATTTTCATGTTATGGGGTTATGCTAGGGATCCTTTCCACGTGAATGATTATCAGTGCTTGGTTATTGATGAAGACTTAGAATATGAAGAACAACACATTCAAATCATTGATCGCTAAGTGAAACAACTCAGGAATAAAGAAATACATATGGTGAAAGTTGTATGGAACGAACATTACTGAAGAGATGCTATTTAGGAGATAGAAGATGAAATAGGGATAAGACACCCCAGTTTATTTCCAAGCCAACGTAACACAAGTTTGTAGAACCAAACATTTTAAGGAGGGGAGAATGTGACAACCAAACCATTCATGCATTATGTATATTTTGTTGTTCATGCATTCATGCTATATGTTGTGTACTTGTGTGAATTAGGACTTGCTAGCAATAGGATGAGAAGAAGGAGAAGTTTGAAAACTCATGAATAGGACTTGTTTGTTATGTGTTTTGAGTTAGGAGATAGCTTAGAACTTGATTTGAAAATCGTAGGATGTGCCTATGCCTTAAGTGAGAAGCATAAAGACCTTAGTCTAATGAACTTGAACATCTTGTGCTATTTGATATTTTGCTAATTAGGATTAGTGATAATTAAGTACGATTAGTGAATCTTAATTAGGATTAATTAATTTAAGTAGGATTAAGTATAAACTTGATTAATTAGTTCTAACCTAGATTAGCTAAACTAAGTAAGCAAGATTAGCAAACTAATGATCTTCCATCTTTTGCACCACCACACACAATAAAACCTTAGGCCCCAAACCAAACAAAAGAGAGGGAAATTCATCCAAGTTGTAGAATCAACGAGAGAAAGGAAGAAAAGAGGAGAAGAAAAGAGGGAAAATGGGAGAAAATAAAGGAATTCAAAGAACTTCAACAAAATCCATTAAAGAAGTGTTCCAAGGTAAGATTTCAACCCTAATTCTTGTACTAGACCCTCCTATTGTCTAAGATTGAAAAGAAACTAGGATCAATTTGGTATAGGAATGAAGAAATTCAAAGAAAAATAAAAGAAGTTGAGCTAGGAAGGAAACCACTCTAGGAATTCCATCTTTTGGTTGAAGTTTTGGTGTTTTTGGTACATGTAGATCTTTACCTTCATATATTCTTGTGATTTCCAAGAGTTTTCATCATTAAATTCATCTTTTGAATGAAAAAAAAAAAAAAAGAAAAGTTTTGAAAAGATTAGGAAAAGATTCAATTCTTGAAGTTCTTGAAAAATTTCAAAGATTTGGTTCAAGATTCTTGAAATAAGTGAAGTTTTGATTTGAAAAATATTTATATGTTCATGTTTTCCATAAATTTTGTATGTCTTTGAGTGTTTTAGCTTGCGCTCTATGCATGGAATTGGAAGAACAAGGGTTAGGGAAATGCAGAATTTCGAATAGCCCAAGAAACCCCGAACCGCATGTGCGGCAGGTCATCCCGCACATGCAAAAGTTTTTCCCCTGCAACCATTTTGCCACTGGAATACATGCACGTGCAGCCCACACATGCCTCGGCCTTCCCACACGTGAGGTTTTGGTCCCACACGTGCGAAAATCCCCTGTTTTGCACACTTTTGTTTCGCAATCCTCTTTCACCTTTAACGCTTTTTACACTCATTTGACACTTAGATAATGACTAAATTAGACTTTAAATAATGTTAGAATGCTAGAGAGAATTTAAGGAAAACATTTAACCAAGATTAGAAACCGAATTGTTATGTTAATGCTTACGAAGTTCAATGCTTTGTTCTTGTTTTTGTAGGTCAAGCCTTGAAGGAGTTAAACCTTTGTGCACGGAGCCAACTGTGAGCAGTAGTGTAGTAAAATTATGTTTCTTAAAATTATGATTTGAAATGTAGACATATGGTATGTTTAAGGAAGCTATATTATTGTTTTGCTATGAATGAACATCATATACATGTATTAAGATGACTGCTTGAAACAAGTTTGTTATTAGAAATCAAGCCAATGACCTCAAGTTAACTGAGCTCTTTGCCACCTGTTGTGGACAAGTTATTTACAAAGCCTTGGAATGTTCATTGCTATATTTATGCATGCAAATTAAGCTTTGTTTATCATGTACAATATATTATGTGTGAAATGAGTTTGTGCTTGGTTTTAATGAAATTTATTGGTGTTCATTCATATACCACTTTACTCTATTGCTATTTACTGGACTTTGGCACACCCCTCTCCTCTATATGTGTGTAGGAGATGGAGATGATCAAATTGAGGAAGAGAGAGCAAGCTAGAAGTCTTTTCTTTTTGTTTTATACTTTTGGGATGGAGATGATCAAATTGAGGAAGAGAGAGCAAGCTAGAAGTCTTTTCTTTTTGTTTTATACTTTTGGGAGCGCCAGCTTACAGATATAGAGATGTTGTTATTGTATATGAGGGTCCAATTTTTTTCTTTGTTTTTTTTTTTTGTGGGTATTTTTTTTTTTTTTTTTTTTTTTTTTTTTTTTTAAGTGGATGTTTGTAAACAATGTATCTTCCCTTTTGTTGTAGACTTGTAATGTGAAAGATAAATAAATGACAGGTATGCTTGTTTTTGTTTACATAGGACTTGTGCACATGCTCTAAATGGACTCTTGATAATTAATGGACAATGTATTCCGCATAAACCTCAACGTTTTTAGTCTAATCTTATCTTGTCTTGCTAGGCCTTTGGTAGTCAGGCATTACTGACCAGTCATAAAGGCTATCCTGTTTAGAGTGGGATGGAGTCGTGACAGACACACACACACATACTCGTACATGCATGGAAAGCTAGATCAAAGCTCCATCAGACACATTTAGGCCTCGTTTGGCAACCTACAATCTTAGTCAAAAAGCTAAAAAATCACTATAAATTGTCACATCACTCTCTTTACTTTTCTGCACATCTTTTCATAAAAAATCAAAAAGTTACTAAAATAGTATGTTCCCAAACGAGACCTTAGACGGCAGAAAGCTACAGCAATAAAGGATCCCTTCCATAGGCTGTAAGACTTACATTCTGACACTACTGAATAAAGTAGTCAAATTAAAAGGTAAAATTTAGTGAGAGAAGCGACAACCACGCTGATGTACAGATTATTATTTCCCCTCATTTAACATGATACTAGAAAGTGGATCCCAATGCCATAATGAAGATAAACTGAAAGTGTTCTATTTGTCTGAAGTGTGTGGACTATGAGCAACCAAAAACACCAGAAAGTAAATATATATATATCCTTGTTTTTCTCCTGAAGAATAGAGCATTCTACTATTTCATCATAACCACAATTTCTGATAATATTTAGATTGGTTCGTGACCACTCATCTAACATTTTGTTAGAAGACATTATTTCAACAGTCAAATATTACAACCTTCTTTTCTCTTCATAAATAGAATTATGAGAAAACTTCCACCTGTCTGGCGAATACCTTGAAAGCAAAGGATGTATGTGTCCATAATCCAAGCAGATTCACTTCAACATAAATAAATAAATAAGCTGACTAATAGATGTCAAATCCATTTACCTTAATTTGTTAATGTTGTGTTTGGTTGGAGGATTTGGGGAGGGATTTGGAAAGAGAAAGGGAAAATGTGTGTGAAACTAGGTGAAATATAGGAATGTTTTATTCACATTTCACCAACCGTTTCCATTTCCCTTTCCAAATCCCTCTCCAAATCCCCGAACCAAACACGGCATAAATGTAGGCATTTTCCAAGGTATACTTGAGAGTGATTTATGCAACTAAACAGTGGATAATTGATCATGGTCAACGAATCAATGTAAAAGCAAACAGAGCCCGGCACTGACATGAAGTCTTTTTTCTTTACTAAAATATAAGCACACATTTCCATTTTTTGTATATAAATAGACAAGTAACAAAATCTTTCAGAGTTACTCTAAAGAAACTGAAGACAACGCTACATGGAATACAACAAAATCTAAAGTTATTACGGATGGGATTCTGACATTGTTAACGAGTTTCTGACTAATAACAGACAAGCAGTAGCATTGCTAGCAACATTTCTTTCTTCCTTCCATCCATCTGTCATTCATTTCTTCTGTTTATTATTGTTTTTCTTTCTATGTGTATCTATCAGGTGATATCAACTGATTGCAACAATGAATAGCTCCAGATCTTCTTTGCACCACCAAATTAGACCTCCAAGCACGTAAAGGAGATCCAAATGAAAAATTATCATTGCACTTTCTGAAACAATAAAAAATTAAATCAAATTTGCATAAAACAAATAAATAAATAAAAACTCACAACAACAACAAAGGAGAAAAATGACAGAGACAACGGCAGATTAGGACCTTAGAAATTAAATTGAGTACGCAAAACATAAGATGACAGGTAAAAGTATTACATTTATGTAGTTAACTTAAAAAGGCATTCAACAGAACTGGAATCGTCCAAAGTGTAGTTTAATAGACCTTCCACAAAATTCCTTAGGGAAGAAATACCTATGTGTAGGAAAACATCGGCGATCCGCAATTTTGATGAACAACATCCACAAGCTACGCTAGGGATTGGTGTTGTGACATTGCCACCATTCCTAGAGAAGCAAATGATTGTGCCGATAGCTTGGCCAAGGTGGCTTTAGCTTCACAGTCACATAACCAAGTCCTGCGAAGTGCTCTGACGAGTTTAGGCCAAAAGCTATGGCAGGAGAAGCAGCTTGTGGGGGCTGTGGGTTCCTCTATTACTTAGTTTCTTTCTTCTTGTTTTTGGCTTCAACCTCCCTTGCACCAAAAAAAAAAAAAAAAGAACCATCGGTGACAAAAGCAGTTTTGATAACACTTTGGGGGATTTGTTTCAATATTAGAGAAAATCCATCTAGTGGTGGAAAACTCAAACTTCTGCACTACCAGAACTCTACCTTCCTTAAAGCAAACCATCGGAACACCAATTATTTAGATTTCTATTTCACAAGGATATAATAACATTTTGAAAGTAAAAAGAGGTATAAAGCAGAAAAGCACATCATCAATATTACCTTAATTCAGTACATGATGCTTAGATACTTTGGAATCCTCAGTTTTCTGGATCATGCTTGGCAGGGTTTTGAGCTTACTGGTTGTTAAAAGGGGGTTATGTGGTGGGTGGGCCTAACCTAGATGAATGGGTGTATGGCTGAGAATAAAGAAATTTTGATTCCAAGGGTTGAACATCAACAGTTCTACCTCTCAAAGATTAGCAATGTACGAGGAACAATCAAGAGGGCAATATCCCCAAGTTAGTGTTGTTTACAGACAATACAGTTTTAGTTGATGAAACAAGAAGAGTAAATTTTAAGCTAGATTTGAAACTGAGACTTTAGAATCTAAAGGATTTAGGTTAAGTAGGACTAAGACAGAATACATGGATGGAGTGTAACTTTAGCAAAACTTGAAATATGGATGAAAAAGTAAAACTAGATGGGCAACAAATACCTAAGAGAGGCCATTTTCGATATTGTGGGTCAATTATTCATAAAGATGAAGAAATTGAGGAGGATGTGGCTAATAGAATTAGAGTGGGAATCAAGTTGATGAAAAAATTTCATAGGATGTATGTTATTGAATGTTGGACAATTAAGAAAACGAGTGTAGTTGATGTTTAGATAGATGAGTGGTATTATAAGAAAAGATAGAATAAGAAATGAATCAATTAGGAAGAAGTTAGTAGTACCCATATGGCCCATGTGCATCGTAATCCAATAATGAGTGATATGATCCATGTGGAAGGTAAAAAAAATATTTGAGGAAGGCCAAGGAGAACATGAGTTGAGGCAATTAAAAATGACAAATACAGTAAACTTAACTAAGGATATGACCTTGAATAAAATCAATTGGAGCAAATGGATAACCAAAAGAAATTAGGATAACTCTTGTTGAATTTATCGGAGTTGAGTTGTAGATCTAATAGACAATAAATGTTTAGATAGGAGCTTAGTTTTGTTCTGCTTCTATTTTTTCTGTGTGCATATAGATCCCTTATCGTGTTTCATTCTACATCAGTTTGTTCCTTTTGAAAACTTGTTAAGTCAAAATGTGCTATCTATGTCTCTTATGAGTTTGTTTGAGATTTTTAAGCTAGCTTCACAGCTACAAATGTTAAAATCATGAATTTACAGAGTCTACCAGAGAATTTTACTATTCCGGAATACAGATACAACTATGTGTGAAAATATTAGGGTATGTTTGATTTAGTTTTATAATTATGATTTGAGTGTGGAGTTGTGTTTTGAGTTTTGATTTTTTAAATTATGATTTGAAAAGAGAAAATTTGTTTGGTTATGAGTTTTGAAAATAATTTTGGGATGATTTGTAATTTTTTTTTATTTATTTATTTTTTGATTGATTGATTGATGTATAGAATGTGAGAGAATGTGATAGGAGAGATGAGAGAGAAAAAATGATTGATTGATTGATTAATAATAATAATAATAATAAGAGATAAGATGAGTTTTAAAAGTAATTTTGAGTTGTATTTTAAAATATGTTTGGTTAACATGTTATATCCAAATCATGATTTAAAAACAGAGTTGAATTTTGAAAAATAAACCAAACGCTACCTTAGTGTATCTATATATATGTGTGGGGACATATTTTTGGGTAATTCACGTGGCCGAGGTTGTTAGCCGAGGTACTACGTGGGTGGACCATGATGCCGAGATATGGTGCAATAATACCAGAATCTGAGATATTTGGATAGAAGACTAGAGTCCTAGATGATATCAAACTACCTATTTGGATAGATATGAGACTCTTGAGAAAGTTTATCTTAATTTGAATAGTGTGAGTTGTGATAGATGTTATCCTTGTAAAGGATAGAGTCCCGTGAAGTAAGGCTTCTAGGGAAAGTTGGACGCTGACCACTATAAAAGTGAGGCACCCTCATGGGTCTAAGGTATGCTTTTTATATTCTGTCTAGCGAGTTAAGCACTATTAGTTATCTTTGAGAGATATTTGATTATTGACTTGAGCGTCGGAGTGCCCCCGGGTGGACGAACCACCGCGATAATTCTCACCTTCTTGTTACAGGTTGTTCGAGCTTAATCTATTCTATCGGTGCTCTCCAGCTGAGTTCCCCCTTTGGTTGTGTAGTCGGAAATCAACACCCACAATTTGGTGCCGTCTGTGGCAACTTAGTTAGAATAGATGCCCATCATTGTGCTAGATCAACATATCTGCAATGACTAGTTTAGTGAAGATGGAGAATGTGTCGACATTAACAGAATGAAGACCCTTTCAAAAGGGATGTAAAGACAGGAGGCATGAGCGCTCCTAAGGAGATGACTTTCAAGTATAGAAGGATCAGCCCAAGTAAACAGATTCCGGATCCCAGATCCTAGAAGACACAATCTCGGCCTAGATGATTAGGTTCGAGAAGACGAGCTCAGATCCCGGATTCTAGATCCCAGATCCCAGATCCCAGATCCTAGAAGACATTATCTCGGCCTAGATGATTAGGTCCGAGAAGACGAGCTCAGCCCAAGTGAACAGATCCCGGATTCCAGATCCCGGATCCCAGATCCTAGAAGACAAGATTTCGGCTTAGATGATTAAGTCCGAGAAGAGAAGAGCTCAGCCTGAGTTAGCAGATCCAAGATTCCAGAAGACACGATCTCGGCCTAGATAATTAGGTCCAAGAAGAGAAGAGCTCAGCCTGAGTGAGCAGATCCAAGATTCCAGAAGGCAAGATCTCAACCTAGATAATTAGGTCCGAGAAGAGAAGAGCTCAGCCTAAAGTAAGCAGATCCCAGATTCCAAAAGACAAGATCTTGGCCTAGATGATTAAGTCCGAGAAGAGAAGAGAAGAGCTCAGCCTAAGTAAGCAGATCTCAAATCCTTGAAGATAAAAAGGAAGCACACAAGTTCAGACTGAAGGCGGCCAAGTTCTGCCTGTCAGCAGAAGGTCATCTATACAAAAGGGTTTTAACTGGACCTCTATTACGATGTGTACATCCTCCCCAAGTTAAAGACTTTTTATATAAGGTCCACAAAGGAGTATGTGGAAGCCATGCAGAGGGCAAATCCCTTGCCCATAGAGCAATATCGCAGGGATTCTTTTGGCCTTACATGCAAAAGAAAGCTGAAGCCTATGTAAAAAAAAGTGAAAATGTTGTTGAAATCCACCTGCAGCGTGCGAGAGAACAACAATTCGGCTGGGGGCATACCAACAACAACTTGCTAGGGCTTACAACAAGAAGGTCAGCCCAAGAGAGTTCAAGGTTAGGGACCTCATCCTGAGAAAGGTTGTCGACAATAAGAAAGATCATAGAGAGGCCAAACTTGGCCCAAATAGAATCATTTCGGTTGCGGGCAATGGGGCATATCGGTTGAAGTAATAATAAAGTGCTAGTTTGATTTTTGTGAATTTGAAATCTGAGCGATAGGACCGACCAGTCCTATAACGATGTTTCCGAATGAAACATAACGAATAACTTAGACTTATTATATGGCAATGTTGAATTATACTTGCATATAAGTTGGCGATATTTCTGAATGAAACATGACGAATAACTTAGACTTGTTATATGGCAGAGTTAAATTATACTTGCATATAATAGAGTTGAACTAAGTTGGAGATGTTTCTGAATAAAACATGACGAGTAACTTAGACTTGTTATATGGTAACGAGAAACTTAAATTTATTATATGTTAGAGTTGAATTATACTTGCATATAATAGAGTTGAACTAAGTTGGCGATATTTCTAAATGAAACATGACGAGAAACTTAGACTTATTATATGGCTGAGTTGAATTATACTTGCATATAATAGAGTTGAACTAAGTTGGCAATGTTTCTGAATGAAACATGACGAATAACTTAGACTTTTTATATGGCAGTTGAATTATACTTGTATATAATAGAGTTGAACTAAGTTGAATTCACCTAGACTTGCCATGTCGGCAGAGTTAAACTCAGAATGGAACTAAGTTTGCTTTAAAGAAACCAAGGTTGAACACCTCAGCTAGTCTTTGTTTGAATCAGACTTCGGCGAAAATGAAGATGCATGCTTAACGTGAACATAAGTGACACTTGGGTTCACATTAGGGGGCAGGGAACAGGAATAAGGAATAGGCTTAACACATGTTGAAATTTTTTACAAGTTGAAGCCAGCCGAGGTATCTAGATAAGGGGACACTCGAGTTGTTGGTTACCCGAGATTACCAACCAGTTCGTCAAAATTGGACGGCAGTAAGTACAAGTAAAGAAACAATACTTGCTGAATGTTGTTTAAAGAATTTTTATAAAATGCCCGTTGGCCGAGATCACAGTAAAAGGTGAACTCCGAGGTAAGTTGGTCGGTGGCCAACTAAGGGTGCACCCGAGATTAAGTGGATCCAAGGTGGTACGTGTCAAATGTGTTCTAACCCGAAGTGATTACACAATTAAAGTATACTTGGGAGAAGTACAAAAATGTTCTAAGTACGGAATCATACAAGACAGTAAAGACAGAGACAGAGACAAGCATTGAACACTTAGTCAAAAAGAGGACTTGCATTCAAAAAGACAACTTGTTCAGATACAAAAGAAGGCACCTCGGCCCAAAGCAAAACAAGATATCAAGATGGAATCTGGCTCCACCCTCAAATGATAGATATTACAGGGAAGGGCATATATGTCTCTCCAGGCATCATAGAATCCTCCTCCCCAGCCAACCTTAGATGAACGTCGGCTAGAATGAAGAATTCCTGACGAAAGTATTCTAGTTTATTGGAGAAGTTTACCCTCCATTTGAACATCCCCATG